CCTTAATAAAGTTATGAAATTATATTTTCATTTTAGTGCAGTTTCATATGCAGAACGAATTCGATCGCATAGTTTTATCTCACCATTTATTTGATCTCCGAAACCACTTCTTCGAGTGTCCCATAGGGGAAGTGCCTTCGCAATTAATGGAATCCCAAAATGCTTCTCTCCAGGAATAAACAAACTAATAAGCTCCAGGAATAAACCAATTTCTCTACCCAGAAAAAACGTTAAATAAATTTTTGATAAATTTTCGGTAAAATACGACTACTAAAAATTCTAACGGTTCCTTCTTTAGTTAATAAAGTGTGTGTATTTCACGATCCTTCGAGACCCTGTCAATTTTGTACTAATCTACCGTAGCTTTAAAGATCGGAAGCTTGAAAACCACTTTTAAGATCGGCGTAAATTGTCGGCACGGTGGACACCAATGTGCAGCGAAATACAATGCCACAACTATCTTGTTCTGAAATGCGATATTCTGAGAATGAATTTGTTCTGAAATGCGATATTCTGAGAATGAATTTGTGCAGCACAATTTAAGAAAAAAGGTTCTTGCAGGTAGGAAGATGGCAATTCGATGGCACAATCTTCCTATTCCAGAAATTTAACATCCACATTTGCGGGTCCCCAGAAAAATTAAAGTGAATTAATAGAAGACTCACGGCCAGCGCATCACTTCCTTTCTTTACAGTACCATCAGCTTTCTTTAAATCGATATTAGCAAATAAATCTGCCATTTCTGAGTTTTGTAAAAGAACTTTCTGATTTGACAAGAATTTTTGGTTCCGCTCCTGGTAGTATGAAACATAAATAGGATAAATCAAATGATTCCTTCACTTCCAAAACTTTTCTCATGCTTTTTTACAAAGAACTCACAAAGAATACCGAAGGGTTAACTCAAGAATGCATCTCTACAATTTTATGCTTCTCAGTTATGTACCAAAGCATACGAATGGGTCATCCCGAAATAAGAGCACCCAGAGAACAAGCGACTATTAGACCGTGCCAAAACTATGGCGATTAGCACTCTCTCCAAAAATATGAATGAAGCAAATTTGGACGATGATTGCTCAGAATAACGATGACGTCCTACCAAGGTTATTCTCCGAGCTGACCTCTTCACGTCTCCCCACCCCTAAATGTCCCTTCCCCTCATGGGGAGCTGACGTCATCCTCGCAACACTGACCAACCGCCCGGTCTGAAATTTGATGTCCCATACTAATCAATGTATGCAATTTAGCACGTAACACGCACACCGCAAATTTGAAATTATTATGCGTCATAAGTTTTGGTATAATAAAGTGCATGCAGCGAATGAGGAAGACAGTAAAATTTTTACCTATTCTATAAGAGATATGTGTAAAGGAGGAGATGTAGAGACCATCTCGACATACAACTGATGCTGTAGGAAAAATTGAAAGTAAAAGAGTTTGATTTGGAAGGGTTTGTTCTTAGGCACAGACGAATATTCTGAGAATGTATTCTTCGTTCGGTTCAGGAGGAAGTTATTTATTCGCAGAAATGGTAGAGAT